ACAGGATTGGACCTGAGTTTTTGTCGGTGGCGTTCATGATGCTAATTAGGCTGAATGAATAGTGTGAATTGAGCTAGTATTAAGCAGCAGTTACATGACTTAAGGACAAGTTTACATGCTTCAGTTGCTCCATCCAAATTTTCAAGAAAGCCAAAAAATCTAAACTCAAGAGAATTTTTAGCATCACTCAGCTCGGGCATTTTCTACTGACGTGTGTTAACAACAGACAGGCAGACATTCATTGATATATGGGATAGAATTTGTTTTTGATATCAATACAGGAAGAAAAATGAGCTTGCCTGGAGGAAAGTGAGTGTGGAGGTCAGATAATGTAGTGAACTGTTAAATCACAACAGATCCTCAAAATGTGGTCAACCTCATTTATACTCAATGCTAAATAATTGCATTTGTGGTTCTGTGAACCTGACAGAGAGCTGCTTCAAGCAGTCTGCTGCTTCTTCTTTGTCTCTCCTCTGTTTTATGCCATTTGGGAATTAGCTTAAAGGACCTCAGCTATGAACCCACAGTATTACTGTTTGCTCAATTTTAGCTCAATATCATTATTTCATATTTTGTTGAAGATGGTTATCCTCAATGATGGTGTATTGCAATAGCCCAACTGCACACCATGGTCTGTGGACACTATGTAGGCTTGTTATGTAACAGCTATAGGCAGCTGGTAATGTTACAATACCTAGAATAGTTAGCAATCACATCGGCTCAAATATAACCTCAGAATTTGTTTTGTCACAAACCAGTTTTAAAAGTGCCCCACTGATGATCAACCCCAGCAAACAAAGGCATGTTTGGAGTTATTTAACAGGAGCACTGACAGTTTAAAGCTGCAGTGAAGAGTGTTTTTTTATTGGCTATGACACAAAGACAGGTTAATAATACTGCTCCTAAATGACCAACTGAAGCCAACAAGACTTGAAACAAAGCCTCTACTGAGTGGCTGCATTGAAGGGCTTGAAGCCTGCCTCTTCCATGGTGACAGATGAATAAGAATAACAAGAACAAGAAGAACTTTATTAATCCCCGAAGGGAAATTCAATTTACAATTTGGGTCATGGGTCAAACAATTTTTGCACAATGAGAGGAGGAAACACTTCCCATCTTTGTATACAGACAATGAGCCCAACAAAGTACACTAATATTGTCATTATGAGGCAGATTAGACATCAATGATGTTAAAACTTGAATGTACAGTATGTTGTGTTAACATAAATGAAAAAGACTGAAATGTCAGTGTCTATGAGTTGGACATTCGAAATCCTAATTTTGCTAAAAAAATTTGTTAAAAAATTATCGATGACTTATGCTGATTGATGATATGATTTGTACAAAGAAAGTAATTTTTATCATTTATGATTGTTACTGTTGCAAAATCAGGCCTACATCCTTGCAAAAGAGTGTAAAACTGATGTCGTCCATTTCCAAGTCCTATTTGTGTGCAATATATACAGTGCACATACTAAACACATAAAGACAAATCCACACAGACACATGGGGAAAGGTGAAGGGTGCAGCTGAGCAGGATACTGCTCTCATTGAACTATCAGAGACTGTAACAGCGCAGACTCACCACAGGGGAGTGCTGTAGGTCAGTGGTCAGACCTCTTGATGAAGTTCAGGAGAAAATGAGCTCCTCATGGACCACTGTCATCCAAGTGAGTCAAATGCATATCCATGAGCAAATTACTGTCTGGCTTACATCCAGAGAGGAAATTAGTGCTCAAAGCACAGTGTAAAAATGCAATCAAGGTGGAGTTTTCAGACAGCTCACTTCTGGCACTTGGCTGAGAGTATGACTGTTTCACAACAGGAGAAATATAAAATATCAAAGCTTGCTTGAAAAAGTGGGCTATGTTTTCTTTTGTTCTTTAAACTCTGAGGTAAACATACAAAGAAGTTCCCCTGCAGACAGATGTGAGTGGTGACCCTTTGCAGTCGGCTGTAGGTTCTTGTGATTTGAATCATGAAGCAGGCAGCTTGTTAGGATGTAAAAAAACTGACTGTCAAGTAAACATTTTTTCTTTTACTTGATAAATGCTCATGCCCACCAGTGAAGGCGTTCAAAAGTGGTACAAAAATAAATGTTTTTTAGTAGATATTTGAAAATGTATTTTGCAGGTTTATTTTTCCATCAGATTTCACAAAAAAAATAAAATAAATCTGTTTATCATCACAAGAATCATAAGTCATTAAACCTTACAGGAGACCTGCTAAGCTGGTCTGGTGTTTAATACAAACATATTAAACTGCAGCAAAGTTTGACAGCAATTTAATAAAATGATGTTGATGTAACCAGTAACTTACCTAAACCTAACGTCTGTCTTTGGTGTCTTATTTCATGTTTACATCAAATGTAAATATTCACTGGAGTTCAGATTTATCAACTCCCACCATAAAGAAAACAAGGCAAAATCATTGAACACAATGGAAATTTTGTGTCACTCTCATGTTAAATCCACCCAATTTATGCTATTTGTACAGTAGTGATTTCATTTGAGTTTGGCCTGAGCACGACATTACTGGGACAAAATGAAAAGCCTGGCAGCTTCAATTAAGCTCTTTATAGGACACACCCAGTCAAAGTTACGGCTGTTTTCTCTCACCAAAGACAAAAGCACCAAAAACAATTCAGACTTTTTTTTGAGGAGAAGTGTGTTCACCACTTCAATGATGGTTCCTTTGTAAATGACTTGTGTCTCAACAGCTAGCTACGAAATCTCTGAGCTGTTTCATCCATAAAAAGCTACGAACCACAAGCTGTAAGTTACACACTAATGTAACAATAGCAAATGTCTGCTAGCATAGCTAAACGCTGAGCTGAGAAGGCATGCACAGCTAGCCACAAGCATTTTCTGTAAAGGGGTAACTTTTGGGTCACAATGAAGCCATGTAAAAATTAACATCCCCAATCTGTGTCTTGCTGTATATCACTAGAAAAGTAGCAAAAAATAAATGAATAAATAAAGCAACATGGTGCTCAAATTAGGGTTTCCAAGGAGGCAAATTAAAGATAAACGAGCTGCAATTCATGAAACGCCACTCTACAATTGTCCCATACTGACATAATGAAAAGGAGTCAAAGAGACTTCAATGGCAGCTTTTCATATATAAAGCAGCAAGAACGATTCATTTAGCTATAGATGAAGGTCAGTATTAAGAAAATTATGCCCGCATGAATTGCAATTTGACCCATTTAATCTTTGTCAGCCACCAAGCCTCACAAACCAGCAGCGAGTCAAAGTAGGATCGATTTATCTCTGATGTCCAAAATCAAACACAGTTGTGTGTTTTGGTTCTTGAACCAGTCCATGCTCTCTGAGCAAAGGGGTAAAAGTCCCCAAATTCGTTTGAAACCTCAGAAGGAAGCATTTTATGGAGAGATCCCCTTTGCGAGGTGTTCATTAGGATCCAAAGTAATCTAGGTGTCAGGTAGTTTAAACACGGATTATCAGACAAATGGAATTTTTTTTTTCCTGGTCATGACTGATAAGAAACATTATGTGGTTTAAAGGTGTCCAAAAGAGGCATCTCATGGAGGACATGTCCTCCATTTTTGAACATTGTCTTTTTTGGCTTGTCTTTTTTCCTGATTGGGAGTCTATGGCTGCTCCGAGAAACCTTTGGAGTAGAGTTCTGAAATTTGGATCACATGTAACTGTGTTCACATTGTTCATATGGTCTGTGATTGTAATAATCAACAAAATACTGTTTTTTTTTTGTTTTTTTTTTGCAAACTTCAGTAGCAATTTAAATTGCAAAATGCTATTTGTGCATTATGTATAGCTTCAATTGACAGAAATTTGGGTGCCGTAGTTTCAAAGTTATAATTGCAGAAGTGATTTTTTTATTTTTATTTTTTTTACCTTAAGATGTTAAATGAAGAGATGGGAAGTGAAAGGAGGCTAATTGTGATTGTAAACCTCTGTGCATAACTATAGTCCTGTTTTTTAGGTTGGAAGACATTTTGATGAAAGATATTGAAACAAAATGTGGAAGACCTCATTATGTGGACGTCAAAATTAGGTTGAGTTAATAAGACATCTATCGGACGTCTAGACCATGTCAGAAATAGACTGAAGAAAAACTTTCATTCTGCACCTCCAGAGGAGAGTAAGATTTTCATTCTGCACCTTCAGTAGACCTGATTGAGACGTCAAAAAAATATGTTAAATAGATGTCATTTCAATGTCACATTGCGCAGTGGGATGATATTGTGTGTAGTGATGGCTCTATTCTATCTTCTCTGTGCAAAGAGGAAACCTGGATGTACCAGAGATGTGGCTTATGGGTTTACAGTTCGAGAGGGAGGAAGACTGCCCAACAGTTTCAATAACTGAAAGCGAGTATTTCTCAACAGGCCAACAACTTTTTTTTTATGCTTAATATTTTATTGATACACATGGCAAATGCTGTACAGGTTGTAAACATGACGTTCAGCGTTAACATATGTGGACATCCTGAAAAAGGATGCGGGAGCTGAAAGCTCTGCTGAGCTGGCTGGGTGTCTGGAGAGTTGGGAGAATGGAGGACTCTGATGGAAGCTTGCCTGAGGAGAGAGCACTGACAGCGGCCTGATATCAGCCCTTTCTACATTTGGAAAGGTGAGGAATTTTTTATCATGATTTATATCTATAAACATGATATTGTTATTATTATTACTAGCATAATTATAATATTTTTTTTCCATTATTACACAGGTGATGTAAACTAGGTTGAATGAGGGCTTATTTGAGGGCTGGATGTTGCTTTAGCTCCTCAAGAGTGGCACGCTTCAGTGGGTCTCTCCTCAGACACAAAGTGGGTCTCTCCTCAGACACAAAGTGGGTCTCTCCTCAGCAAAGTCTTGACATCTACAAAGCAAAAGAGGGGAAAGGTTAGAGTGGACAGTTTTTCTTGATCCAATGAAACTACAAATCAGAAGAAAATATTTAATTCATTAAAAATTATGTGTTAAGGGTGTATGTATTTGTGTGGGAGTCTTACCTTTAGATAGGTTGATTGAGGGCTTGTTTGAGGGCTGGATGTTGCTTTAGCTCCTCAAGAGTGGCACGCTTCAGTGGGTCTCTCCTCAGACACATGTACAGCAAAGTCTTGACATCTACAAAGCAACAGAGGGGAAAGGTTAGAGTGGACAGTTTTTCTTGATCCAATGAAACTACAAATCAGAGGAAAATATTTGATTCATTAAAAATTATGTGTTAAGGGTGTATGTATTTGTGTGGGAGTCTTACCTTTAGAAAGGTCACTGTTAATCTGAATGTCGTTGATAAGGTAGGACAAAGTGTTGAACCGTTTGTGACCACGTATTAAAGAAAAGAGGAGTGCTCCTAGCTGCCATACAGTGGTAGGATGGGCCTTGTACATTCCACAATCAAAACACTCTGGTGGAGAATAGATAACGGTGCCTACAGAGAAACAGAAGACAGTGATATAATTGAAAAGGTGATGCGATGTTATTTACACATCAATGTCATCATTTCACATAATCAACTGCATATAAAGATGGATGATATGACTCCATGTCTCCAAGCTACAGTATATTGAATCCAAAATCTCTCTTTGTGATTGTTGCTGACATCTTGCACATTGCGAGCCTTCTTATTTTATACTTAGACCTACAAACTTTTTGTTGATGAATGACCTGTACTGCAGTCAGTCAGTAGGAGAAGCTCCTAATATTTGGGAATTACTTTTTGGGCAACTATGGAGTCATCAAGCTTTAAGTCTTTACATCTTTACAGTCTATGATTCAGATATTGAGTGAAAAGGCAAGAGCAGAGATTGGATATCATACCACGAAAGGAATTATAAGATTTCTCATCGGAGAAGCTGCCGCAGCCAAAGTCAATGAGCCGCACTCTTAATTCACCGGCTTTAAACTGCACCAGGACATTTTCTAATTTGATGTCTCGATGAAAGACACCCTTGGCGTGAGTGTCAATGGCTGCGTCCACCATCTGCTTGAAAATCATCTGGAATAAGAGGGACAAGTATTGTATTTTTTAAGCACAGATTTTCATGTTAAGCAGATTCACTTAAAACATTTTGCAGAAGAGTTACTCCAATTGGACCCTGATGTTTACTGAATTCTTTTAATGAGACAAATTTAAACAAAGCTAATCTGTATGAATTCAAATCCAGCTAATGTAAAACTAACCATTATTTTGATGCTGTTTCCCAGATACAGGCCCTTTAAGGCACACAGAGTTCAGAGAGTGGGAATGCTGATAAAGAATGCTCATTTGCAACCTAACTTGTGTTGTAATGTCCATTTTATTTTTTCAGATATAAGCTAATTCTAACTAAAACCTTCCCAAATATGATGGTGTACAAATTATTAATGCAGTTACATTTGAAACTTTGAGAATTTTTCCTGATGTTAATCAAGCTAGCTAGTTTGTCAACTGGCGTTAGCAAGTTCCTTATTTACAGAGCTGATTTCCTAGCTGCCTTTTATCATTTAGCTAACAGCACCACCTCCCAAGTAGCAGTGGTTTGACCCAAGAAATAAGCTAACTGACATAAACACAAAGTCATCCTTTTCATACCTTTGCTTCTTGTTCATCCAGACCTCCACAGTCTCTGACATACTTCTTGAGGTCCACGCAGGGGACGGGTCTCTCCATGACCAATATCAGTTCATCATCCAGGGTGTACCAGTCCAGAAGAGAAATAGATGAGGACTGTCCAATGACCCCCGTCAGACCTGTGGTCTTAAGCATGAATGCCACCTCCAGGATGATGTCAAACACCTTATCGTTGCATATCTAGAGAAAAACACATGTGATGACTCGCTATCAGTTCAGACAGATGTGGGAAATGCAAGTTAAAGTAACAACAGAGGCAGAGTTTTAAAATGAGCATTGCATCTTTGGCAGAGGAGAGATATAAGAATTAAACATTACATCTTTTTTTTTTTTTAACATGATTAGATTACTTACCACATGTTCAAACTTAACAGCCTTTCTTGGAATATGTTTGATGGCAACCTGCAACACAAAAGGTACAAGTGACTTGGTTTGTCATTTCTGAGGGTTAGAGAATGGCTAAATGCAACTTTATCTTGTGTTTGTCTTACTTACTGGTAATGAGTCTGATCGACGGCGGCCTCTAAACACCGTTCCAAAGCCTCCACTGCCAAGGGGCTCAAGCTCTGTGTACGTGTTCTGGAATTCAGCTAGAAAATGTATAAAGACATTAGCCTCTGAGTTTACATATCTTCTATAAATATATATGATAATTCTTATAATTAAACAGTTTAATGTTCAATGATGTGATTGTCTCAGTTTCTCTCAGCTTACTTCTGCTCTTGTTTCCTGAGGAGGATCTCCTGCAGATTTCCTCCTCCTCAGCTGAGACGGTGCCTAAGTCCCGCCAAGGCCATATTCTGCCCTTTTCTTCCTTCACATTCTTCTTTATGCCAGCGCTGGACGACTGGAGGGTGCTGTAATAACTGCTGTAATAACCGCTGTAATAACCGCTGGTCTCACTACAGCTGCACCTCTTCTTTTCAGGGGCGTCACCTTCATCACTGGCCTTTCTCTTGGAAGCACGAACCCTGATATCCTCTGCAGGCCCTTGGCTGCTTGTAGGGTTTGGAGGGCTTCTACTCCTCTTTCTCATACTAAATCTCCCCTGGCGGTCACAGGAAGAGGTGGAGTTGGACACATATTCTTCAGCCCTGATCTTTGTGCTGGGCGAGACATCATCAGTGTCAATCCTTTTCCTCTTCCTGCTAAGAGTGGTGTCTATGGAGGGAATATGCAAAAGGCGACATTAGCTGATTGCTCAATGCAATCTTAAATAATTTCTTACAGAGAAAGACATTAATGTATGTTATATATTAATGACTGTTGTTAATCAAAATAGTTCTTTAAAAGTGAATTCCCCTTGAGCAATGGTACAAAACATTACAGACAACTTTTCATGATTATATATAAATATATATATTTATCTTCACACTTACTCAGATTTTTTCCGAACGATGGGGTCATCCTGTCTTGTGCAGATGAAGAAGACATGACTTTGTTCAAAGTTAGTTGTTCAAAGAAACTCACTTTCCAAATTTCAAAAGAGCAATACTAATACAGAGGGTGTCTGTGTGTACTGGTCTAGAGTGACTCTGTAGTTTGGGTATCTAGACTGGTTTGAAAAATACAATGTGATGGCATCATTTAAACTGTAAAAGTAAAGATCCAGTCTGTCCAATGTTCACGTTACCACGGCAACCTATCTGTTTATCATCACAAGAATCATAAGTCATTAACTCTACAGGAGACCTGCTAAGCTGGTCTGGTGTTTAATACAAACATATTAAACTGCAGCAAAGTTTGACAGTAATTTGATAAAATGATGTTGATGTAACCAGTAACTTACCTAAACCTAACGTCTGTCTTTGGTGTCTTATTTCATGTTTACATCAAATGTAAATGTTCACTGGAGTTCAGATTTATCAACTCCCACCATAAAGAAAACAAAGCAAAATCATTGAACACAATGGAAATTTTGTGTCACTCTCATGTTAAATCCACCCAATTTATGCTATTTGTTCTCTTGATAGACTTTACATGTAGTGATTTCATTTGAGTTTGGCCTGAGCACGACATTACTGGGACAAAATTAAAAGCCTGGCAGCTTCAATTAAGCTCTTTATAGGACACACCCAGTCAAAGTTACGGCTGTTTTCTCTCACCAAAGACAAAAGCACCAAAAACAATTCAGACTTTTTTTTGAGGAGAAGTGTGTTCACCACTTCAATGATGGTTCCTTTGTAAATGACTTGTGTCTCAACAGCTAGCTACGAAATCTCTGAGCTGGTTCATCCATAAAAAGCTACGAAACATGAGCTGTCAGTTACACACTAATGTAACAATAGCAAATGTCTGCTAGCATAGCTAAACGCTGAGCTGAGAAGGCATGCACAGCTAGCCACAAGCATTTTCTGTAAAGGGGTAACTTTTGGGTCACAATGAAGCCATATAAAAATTAACATCCCCAATCTGTGTCTCACTGTATATCACTAAAAAAGTAGCAAAAAATAAATAAATAAATAAAGCAACATGGTGCTCAAATTAGGGTTTCCAAGGAGGCAAATTAAAGATAAACGAGCTGCAATTCATGAAACGCCACTCTACAATTGTCCCATACTGACATAATGAAAAGGAGTCAAAGAGACTTCAATGGCAGCTTTTCATATATAAAGCAGCAAGAACGATTCATTTAGCTATAGATGAAGGTCAGTATTAAGAAAATTATGCCCGCATGAATTGCAATTTGACCCATTTAATCTTTGTCAGCCACCAAGCCTCACAAACCAGCAGCGAGTCAAAGTAGGATCGATTTATCTCTGATGTCCAAAATCAAACACAGTTGTGTGTTTTGGTTCTTGAACCAGTCCATGCTCTCTGAGCAAAAGGGTAAAAGTCCCCAAATTCGTTTGAAACCTCAGGAAGAAGCATTTTATGGAGAGATCCCCTTTGCGCGGTGTTCATTAGGATCCAAAGTAATCTAGGTGTCAGGTAGTTTAAACACGGATTATCAGACAAATGGAATTTTTTTTTTCCTGGTCATGACTGATGAGAAACATTATGTGGTTTAAAGGTGTCCAAAAGAGGCATCTCATGGAGGACATGCCCTCCATTTTTGAACATTGTCTTTTTTGGCTTGTCTTTTTTCCTGAATGGGAGTCTATGGCTGCTCCGAGAAACCTTTGGAGTAGAGTTCTGAAATTTGGATCACATGTAACTGTGTTCACATTGTTCATACGGTCTGTGATTGTAATAATCAACAAAATACTGTTTTGGTTTTTTTTTTTTCAAACTTCAGTAGCAATTTAAATTGCAAAATGCTATTTCTGCATTATGTAAAGCTTCAATTGACAGAAATTTGGGTAATGTAGTTTCAAAGTTATAATTGCAGAAGTGATTTTTTTATTTTTATTTTTTTTTTACCTTAAGATGTTAAATGAAGAGATGGGAAGTGAAAGGAGGCTAATTGTGATTGTAAACCTCTGTGCATAACTATTGTCCTGTTTTTTAGGTTGGAACACATTTTGATGAAAGATACTGAAACAAAATGTGGAAGACCTCATTATGTGGACGTCAAAATTAGGTTGAGTTAATAAGACATCTATCGGACGTCTAGACCATGTCAGAAATAGACTGAAGAAAAACTTTCATTCTGCACCTCCAGAGGAGAGTAAGATTTTCATTCTGCACCTTCAGTAGACCTGATTGAGACGTCAAAAAAATATGTTAAATGATGTCATTTCAATGTCACATTGCGCAGTGGGATGATATTGTGTGTAGTGATGGCTCTATTCTATCTTCTCTGTGCAAAGAGGAAACCTGGATGTACCAGAGATGTGGCTTATGGGTTTACAGTTCGAGAGGGAGGAAGACTGCCCAACAGTTTCAATAACTGAAAGCGAGTATTTCTCAACAGGCCAACAACTTTTTTTTTATGCTTAATATTTTATTGATACACATGGCAAATGCTGTACAGGTTGTAAACATGACGTTCAGCGTTAACATATGTGGACATCCTGAAGAAGGATGCGGGAGCTGAAAGCTCTGCTGAGCTGGCTGGGTGTCTGGAGAGTTGGGAGAATGGAGGACTCTGATGGAAGCTTGTCTGAGGAGAGAGCACTGACAGCGGCCTGATATCAGCCCTTTCTACATTTGGAAAGGTGAGGAATTTTTTTATCATGATTTATATCTATAAACATGATATTGTTATTATTATTACTAGCATAATTATAATATTTTTTTTCCATTATTACACAGGTGATGTAAGCTAGGTTGAATGAGGGCTTATTTGAGGGCTGGATGTTGCTTTAGCTCCTCAAGAGTGGCACGCTTCAGTGGGTCTCTCCTCAGACACATGTACAGCAAAGTCTTGACATCTACAAAGCAACAGAGGGGAAAGGTTAGAGTGGACAGTTTTTCTTGATCCAATGAAACTACAAATCAGAGGAAAATATTTGATTCATCAAAAATTATGTGTTAAGGGTGTATGTATTTGTGTGGGAGTCTTACCTTTAGATAGGTCACTGTTAATCTGAATGTCGTTGATAAGGTAGGACAAAGTGTTAAACCGTTTGTGACCACGTATTAAAGAAAAGAGGAGTGCTCCTAGCTGCCATACAGTGGTAGGATGGGCCTTGTACATTTATCGGAAGTTATCTAGGTGTCAGGTAGTTTAAACACAGATTATTAGTCAAATGGACTTTTTTTTTTTTACTGTTCATGGAATGTGATGGATTTACTTTCATTTCTAAAGCAGTTTTGAGGTACCGTTGGTTTGTGTTGGTTCTGATGCATCTTGTTGCCAAAGTTATTTCTCTTATCTAAAGTCCTGTACATGTTAAAGTAGTATTTTCAGACTTATATCCTGTTGTCTTGTAACTATGAGATGACATCGCTTACTCTAAGTCTAAATCTCACTCTGTTTGTCCTGATGGTCCCACAACAACCAATGTTCCTGTGCCTCAAGTCCTGAAAGAGGTCAGGGCTTGTGTTAAAATTCCCTTCATAAACTGTGTAGCCCCCACCGAGTACATGGAGAGGCAGAAGTTCCATCATTGCAGAGTTGCTCAGACCTTTGCCTGTGGCTGACATACTCTTGCCAGTGGACACTAAGGAATTTCAGGTGTGACCCGTGGAGGAGTCTGCAAGGACAAACACTTTGTATCCCCACTTTTTTGACTTGTCCTTCATGTACATCTTCATACCGATGTGTGCCTTGGTGCCTATCATCCGCTCATCTGGAAATTGGCTTGGCATGCAGTCACTGTGTCGCTGTACAGGGGCTTTATCTTGAAATTGTATATATATATATATATATATATATAAATATACTTATAACCGTGCTTAACTGTGTTCCCAAGCTATATAAGAGTACATGCAAAGGCCTAGAGTTGTTTACCGCTTACATTCAAGCCATAGCACAACTCAGAAGTCGTCAGCTCTAACATAATGCCTAAAACAAAAGAAGTGAGTGAAACCACAAAGGCAGCCATCTTAGCAATGCTGGAAATTGAAAGACTCATATCACTGCAATTTACTGTCATTGTTGTTGTTGCAATCTACTGTATGTTACAGTAGGGCAGTATATAAGACTTTCTGGTGTCATCTTACTTGGCAGGTGGCGCTATGTTGTTTTTGCCGTTTGCTTGTGTAGTTACTTGTTATTGAAATTGTCCTCTGTTCATAAGAAACTGTTTGTTTTAGGCCTGTTGTTGAGATTATTCTTCTGAAGCGGATATGCTATATGTCTAGGTTGCTACATGATTAGCATGTGCTTCATGGTCATACATCTCAAATTCATGCCCCCCCGGATCCGGGGGCACTCAGGTTTGACCAAAGTGAAATAATCAGATTTGTTCCTGATGATCCTCTTTGCCATTGAAAAACATAATGAAGCATTGGTTTGTTATTAGGGGCCACTTACTGTGTTACCTCCTAGTGTCATTTCCTTGACCCTTTATTTATTTCAAAAGAAGGTAATGTATTTTGTTTAACATCAACCACAACAGAAAAAACCTATTGAGTACATGGCCTCTGTGCAGGATACCTGGCATGTACTGTTTGTTTTTAGAAACTCGGTCAACTACCTTTATTCTTACTCTACTGTTATCCAAAAACTAAATACAGGACCAAAGCATCAAATGTAGTGTAAAATCACTTTTTATTAACTTTTGACCCATGTAAAACTCTATGAGGAGCAATAAAGTAACTCCATCTGGGCAAAGAGAAAGTTATTTCAAAAAGTCCTGAGCTGACGATACTCAGCAGAGGTACATTAATGAAGCTGAAAATGCCACGACACTGTTCCTGACAGCCAGGCTGTAAATGTTAATGCTTAATAACAGTAAATAGCTGGAGATCCTCGGACAGCTTGGAGCAGCATTAGACTGGACCAATTAGCCTTCTGAGTACAATGGCCAATTAGCTAGGGGATAATTGCTTTCCAAAACTGTTATTGTTTCTAACAG